CTGCATGTGTGTGTGTGCAGGCTTGCAGCTCGCTTAGAGCTTAATTGAAACTTTGGATGCATTAAAAATGCAATCAGCACAACAAGCAGGCAGCGCCCAGCCCCCGCCCCCGTCCCCGCCACAGGCTAGAGGCATCAGCTAAGCCATCAGCTAACAGGTTTCAGTCTCAATTGGGTGAGAGGGGGTGGCAGGAGGTGGGTAGGGATCGTATGGCAGTTGTTACTTCGCTAGCTACTTGATGGCAGCTCTCTAGTGTCGCATCGCATACAAATTGCAGACAATATGCAGCTTAATTACTACTAATTGATGCATACAAAAACTTAAGATGTTTTCGTATTTAATGACATATTTCACTGCTCGATGGCAAACAAACAACAAAGCGACGACGACGACGATGACGACGACAGCAGCGCAAGTTATGGCTTGGCAAGGATTCAGACAAGGATAACAGCGGCAGTTGAGGCTGGCTGAGGCACTGAGGCAGGGACTGGGGGGCTGGTTGCTGGTTGCCGGCGCATCTTAATTACCGCTAAAGCGCCTCGGCTGCAGTTACAGTCAAGTGAATGGCTGCGCTGTGCTGTGCTGGTGTCTTCTGGCAGAGTCGCTGCCGTCTCCTTGTTGTCGCTTGCATATCATTAATAAATAAATCAAATTTCTGTGCGTGTAGTTTGGCGAGTGTCGTTCGCAGACAGCGCGACGCAGCAGCTGCTAACAAATTAAGCAGATAAAGCCAGCCAACTTTTCCCCCGCTTGCCTAATAGACAAGCATAACACGACCTAAGTGACAGAGCAATAAAAGCAACAACAGCAGCAACAACAACAACAGCAGCAGCAGCAGCAGCAACAACCTCCGAGTGTCTTCCTGTGCTATGGCAAATGAGTTTTATCAATTTACCTACGACACTCTAATAATATTTCGCAATTACCGCAATTAACTGTAATTAAGAGCCGCGCGCGACTCGTAGCCAATTAATGTTGTCATTTCGCATTGACAGTTATTGCCTCGTTATGAGACGCTCGGACGGTCCAGTTAGCAGCTAGCTCGTCTGGCGGCCACTTTAGTTTAGCTTAGCCTCTTAAGTTCCGTTAGTAACTGCTTGTGCTTCACTAATGCCCTGCCAAACTCAACTTGCTTTTCCAGATGAGCCCACCATCAATCAGGCCACCACCAATGTGGTCGACGGCATTGACCTGGACGAGATCAAGGAGTTCGCCAAGGCGTTCAAGCTGCGACGCCTCTCGCTGGGCCTCACCCAGACCCAGGTGGGCCAGGCGCTATCCGTGACCGAGGGACCGGCGTACAGCCAGAGTGCCATATGCAGGTGAGCTATGCATAGACGAAGCTATTTATCATTTTTATAAAATAACTGAAAGATAGAGATAAAGATAGATCAAGGCAAGTCAGCTTACAAACCTTTAAGATTTGAATGCGAGCTATTACGTTTCATTTCGTATTACTTACATTTGGTATAAAGCTCAAATAATATTAGGCTTATCAAAATCATAATATATTTAGTACCAAAGCAATAAAAGAATTGCAAGAAAAAATTGTAAATATAAATATAAGAAATTTAATTCTT